TATTCACAAGACTATAGCAATTAGTTTCACTTTGGAAGTCCTCGTTACTGTTAGACTATGATTATCCGTTCAACGATGACGAGCAAGGAAAAAACTTGTTTGCAATTGCTGGAAGCATTAACTGCTCCGATAAGAACACCGGGGAAAGGGGGGAGGGAAAAAGGAAACGAAACGAAACGAAACGCGTTACGCGCGAAGTTACACGACGATCTCGTGAACTTACGCGACGCAATTATGCAACTGGCGAGTTTCACCCGGCCGTACGGAACAACGAGGAGCACTTTCGTTTTCGGAGGCTCGTCCGTGATAATCAGCCTTCCCGCGGGTTGACCTTTCGCCCAGTGATATCGCGTCGGAGATGAAAATCTTCATTCGAATATTGCAATTCGAAGCATTACACGGTGATAATGGATAATAAATATAATCAGCTGTAAATTGTATTACAACAAAAAACGTCACACCCGCAATTCAGCTATTGTTTAACCTTTGCACTCGAGAGACTCTTAGTCGCCATTTGATTTGATATAACAAAATCACAAAGTGTTGTATACAATGTTAAGTTCTGACTTGTGAGACTAAGTAAACTAATTTAACAAGAATCACTGTTGTTAATTAATAATGTTGGTGTTGTTAATTAGTAATTACGTATCTGTCTTCGAGTTTTACTGTCATCTAGTCACTGAATACTTTGTTAACCCTTTGCCGTACAATGAGTGAGACTCGCGATGAAGATTTCTAAACTAATTCAACAAGAATCAATGTTGTTCATTATCCACGGATCAAAACAACTATTTTGCTATTATCAATGTATCCTCAAATGAAATTTCCACCTGAAGTAGAAAATTTCGTATTTCTCACAAATCGTCCATAGTAAAATATTACACAAGCTTAGTAACGAAAGTAAACATGGGTTAATTCACATATACTCCTATTACTTAGTTTCATCTGTCACATCGTGAACTGTCAAATATTTCCAGAGAAGCCTCCGAGTGCAATGGATCAGCCATTCAACGAAAGACTCATTTCCATCCGCTCTGAAATCCGGCGAATCGAAGCGCGAGGCCGCGTGTTCGACTAAAAATCCGCGGTTCGGTTATCGGTAATCGTTAGCGGCGTATCTATTTCTGCCCGGCGCTCTTCGTGTCGCCGGTGATTGCGAAATCGGCGTAGCTGGGATTTATTAATAAGCGAAAAATCCGCGGGAGCCGGCCCCGCCGCGTGGGCGTCGGGTAGCCGGCGACCAAAACACCGCAGCGACCGCACGTGTTAGCCCGCAAATCCGGCGAATCGAATATCTCGAGCGGGACGCAATCAACGGGGGATGCTCCGTCTTGATGTGCGGGGGTGTGGCGATCCGCTAAACCCCGTGTCACACACACGCACGTGGATATAAAAGAGTGTTTGACCTTCAAAGGTCACCGTTGAAACGGTACCAACGGGTTTTACTGTAACTTGACTCTGAAGGGTGGCGCGAGAAATTCAAGTAATATAAAAATACAAAGTAGAACGGCTATTTTCAACCCTTCGCTTTGTGATAGACTGTAGTCTTTAACCCTTAGCACTCCAGATGGTTTTGTGATTTATCAGCAACTGCGAATTTTTATGGTATCTTCAGTGAAAATGAGAAAGATTTAACATCCCTTCGATCTTTTGTTTTCCTTATCAGTAGAAAATTTGGATGTGTGGAAAATCGAATTATTTCCGGGTAGTTTCTTTGATTTCATAAAATATTTTATATAACTGGTGCAATATTGGAGCCAGAGTTCAAAGTTGACGTTGACTGCCACGAGAAACATCAGTGTTTTGTGTATCACGTGTTCTTCCTATAGCAAAGATACAAAGCATTTAATTCTTTGATATGAAAATTCTTATATTACCCTATTATTTAGTTGTTAACGTTACAGAAAATTTGTACTCGAAATCAATTATCTTCCAAGTAATTATTTTCTTGTAATTTGAAAGCTCCGGTCACCGGTGACCTCCAACTAAATCGAATGCAGTTGATTCAATTAAACGTTGATTATTTGAAATATTTGTGCATTATGAATAATACATAATACAGTGACATTCAGCTAGCTGAACATGTAATAATAATAATAATAATCAATCATCCAAGCGATTTGATATTACATTTCTCTGGTTTTATGCTTTTTCTCTATGAAATCGCGTGTTGAACGTGTTAAAGGTTAGCGTGATTAACTGTTTTTTTCTGTCACAAAGTGGAACATTGAAATATTACTGTAAGTGTTTAGTTTCTTGCGTAGATCGTGCACCGTGAATACAGATTTCCCTGTTTGCGCCGGTGAATAGCCGATGACGAAGATGTGTTAATTAATTCGGTTGAATGTAGGTCGGCGTAGAGTTGAAATTGATTTATTCGAGTACTAATTTTCGCATGCTCGAAGGTAAACGGCGAACGAGAAACTAATTCGCGGCCCGATTCATGCAATTTTGCAATTGCGGTGGTCGATTTGTGTGACGGCGCATTGATTCGCTTGATTCGGGGGGCGGCGAGAGCGGCTCGGATTGCCGCTGAACGAACGGTAACTGCGCGCGGCGTCGGGCTGAGATCTTGACAGAAATCGCGCGGTAAATGGGAGCTTTTATCAGCGATGTTTCTTTACAAATCTTTTCAGCATCACCTGATACAGTTTCACCGCGTCCTCGGTATTCGCGCGCCTGTATACTCACTTTCTGTTTCATCTTTCAACGTTCGACAACTCGACGATGAAAGCACGATAAATGGCACCTTTTATCGATCACGTTGCTTCACAAATACTTTCACTCTGGTCTTGTCATAATCTACTAAATTTTCTGTACTATTTACTCGTACATTCAATTTATTTCTCGCGAAACAGTTCTTATTAACCCTTTGCGGACGAAGACTCTTTGAAATGTACCAAACCTTCGACACATGAAGCTGAATTCTATATCAATTGCTTAATTAATAGAAAAAAATTATGCGCTGATCTCTTGCTGTTCAACTAATTAGATCATTTGTCCATGACTTAGTCTTCCGAATCTGAACATTTCATCTCGCCGAATTGCCGACATTCGGCTGTAAAGAATTAACCCTTTGCACTAGAGGTGACTCTTAATTGCCATATGATTCGATACAACAAAACTAGTTGAATATCTAATATTTCAAATTAACACTAGACTACCGAGCATTTGATACGATTGAAATGCAATCGCTATGAATATTGTAGTAATAGATTATTTTCGGTTTCTTCAGACATTCGTTAGAATATTCAAGTGAAACTATTTTCAAAATCATTTCGAATACTCAATGCTTTCAATATATCAATAATTGCGAAAACAATCGAAATCAGTCACTTTGACTCATACAGTAGTTCTAGTAAAGTTTGCATCGCTACGTGAAGTATTTAAATGAAACACTGTTGCTTAATCTATGAATTATCCTTAAATTAGTTTCAAACATCACCTATATCACGTCAGAAAATATTTCCATTGAGGAACTTTCGAGTGCAAAGGGTTAAGCACTTGGAAACCTCACCCATTATCACTGAAATTTACCAAATGTTCAATTTCCACGTCCCTCTATTGTCTTTCTATCTCATTACGAGTTGATATCGACGGTAACGACGGTAATCGTTCGAATTTCACGGACTATTCACGAACGTTTAGTCTAATGAGACACGCGGATAGCAGCGAACCGCCGGGACACACCCAGCTGATATCCGCGATTGCGTAAAACAGTTTGTCGACGAGTATAATTAAATATTTGCGGCGCGGCGTTGTCGGTGCCGCGGTAAAAGTATTAATAAGCTTGTTGGCGCGCGCGACACGCGTATCATGTGTAATTGGTGTACGCGCGCGCGCGTTCGACGACGACCGTGTACTGACCCTTCCCGTTTCCATTCTGTTCGCAGGGAAGAACCTCTACACTAACGAGCATGTAGCAATTAAAATGGTAAGTCGAAGCTCATTTTTCACGCGAACCTATCGATCGTTCCTTCGTTAAGCTAAAATTAACCCTGCGCGCTCCGAGCGGACCCCGTGGCCATTTTTCTTTGGCCTCTATTTCAGGTTCGCCTCCGCGATCCTCTTTTCTTCGCGACGAGACCTTTCTTAATTGCGCGACTTTGATTCCGACGCGTTTTCGAGAGGATGCTGCATCTTTATAGACACGCTTCTCGCCGAGTAATATTTCGAAATATTTAGTTGTCGCTAATTAATGGTTCTGGAGATAAGAGTCACGAAGATATTTACCGTTTCTTTGCGAAAATATTGTACTTTGTTTGGTGGTATTTTATTGGTATTTTATTGATATTTTATTAAACTGTTATTGATTTTTTATTGATATTTTATTAAACTGTTATTGATTTTTTATTGATATTTTATTAAACTATTATTGATTTTTTATTGATATTTTATTAATATTTCACTGATATTTTATTGGTATTTTATTGATATTTTATTGATATTTTATTGATATTTTATTGATATTTTATTTTTGTTTTCCTCTTGACAATTTGCGTTTGTCTTTATGATACTTATATCGATATTTTATTTTTGTTATCTTTCGATATTCCTCTTGACAACTTGCGTTTGTCTTCATGATATTTATATTGATGATTTATTTTTACTTTTACAATATTTTTACTAATAATTTATTTTCGCTCCTTCGACACCTTTATTGGTACTTTATTTTTGCCCTTTCTTGTCCCGACGGTGAATAACGCAGAGAAAGAGGTCAGTTTCGCGGGTGCAAACGAAAATACTGCGCCGCAGCGCGGAGGGTTGAATTAAAATTAATGCGAAATGGAATTTGATTGTCGAGCCTTGCGCGCCGTTCAGAGGCGGCTTAATCTGGGACAGAGTGTTAATTTTCAATCTTTTCACTTTCGCGCCAAGAAATTTATGGAAATACACCGCGCGAATGGTTTATGTATGCGTTCCTATGTAAATTGGAAGTAATGCATTTTCATCGTCCGGTTTAAACGGCAATTGCCCGTTCCAATGGCACGCAAGAATTATACTTTTCATTGTTTAGAGATTACAAGGTATTAGAGTTCTAAACCGATCCTCCTTTCGTTGCTGCAGGAACCAATGAGGTCGAAGGCGCCACAGCTGCACTTAGAATATAGGTTTTACAAATTATTAGGTTCACACGGTGAGTACATATTTTCCAAAAATTATTACTACCATCGTTCACTTCTAAACTCTAAACGAAAGTAACATCTGACGATTACGAAAATATATCCAACTACGTTGCCAATGCTTAACTGCAGTCGAATAACAGAACTAAGTGACATTTTTATAAAAACTGTCAAATTATAGAAATGATTGAAACAAAATATAAAATGACGTAACACTACGTCATCGGTATTGTAAAGAAATCGAACATTACGTAGAACCAATCGAATTACTACAGTTCATTCAATTGAAAGACGATTATTTGACATTTCTATATTATCAACAATGCTACCGATTGCGGTGACATTGGCCAAGATCAGCGTGCAATGATAACGCAATTCAATCGAATGATTCAATGTTATATTTGTTCCATTTTCTGCATTTCGCTCTATGAAATCGACGTTCGACGCGTTAACCTCTTGCGCTGGAAAGACGTTTCGAGACGCTTCTGTTTCGAAATGGCCAACGACTTTTACACATTGATAATCTTGTTGCATTACGCACATTAGATTGTTTCGAAATGTATCACTCTATAAATGATTAACAAACGAAATTAACCCTCTGTAGGCCCATGCAACTTCGAAGTCACATATCAATATATTGGAATCTTGTCGATTTATTTCATCCTGCACTCAAAGTGGCGAATAAAATTAAGTAATCGATTAACACACTATCGGCGGGTAACATCATGAGCTTGACTCACGAAAATTAGTTTTTTTTCTCTTAAAAATTAATAAACTAAACACTGGTCAGGCTCTACGAAAAACAACCAAAAACATTCCTGCCCAAAAATTAGTGACAGTGAAAAAAAACATTGGTAAGCATTTTACTAACACTTCGCGTACGTTCTGCATAAATGGTATTAATACCGATAGTGTGTTAACTTCAACTTTTATACGCTTAACCGTGAGAGTTTAACGTCATTATAACTCGAAAGTTACAGAATATATTCGTTCGATGAAATTACTTAAAGCATCGAATACATTGTTAATTTGTATTCATACGTGGATATTCATTAATTTTCTACTACATAGATTTTGTTATAATCATGAAGAAAAATTTGGCTCATAGAGGGTTAATGCGCGCATCTGCGTGAAATCGGTGGAAAGAAAATTCGCGGGATACTTCGTCGAATCTCCAAATTGATATCCAGCGGAAGTGGTTAAGAAGCTTCGCGTGAAAGGTTCCGTGTTTTCGCTGGTATGTTATTTGATGAAATGCTCTCAGAGGGTATTCCGGAAGTATATTACTTCGGCCCGTGCGGGAAGTACAACGCCCTAGTGATGGAGCTGCTCGGCCCGAGCCTGGAGGACCTGTTCGACCTCTGCGGGAGGAGGTTTACCCTGAAGACCGTTCTGAACATCGCCACACAACTGGTAAGTACCATTAATCCATTAGAATCGCTACCAATAATTAATAGAATGCTGCAACAATTTCCAAACCACATATATAATACTTGGCCGGACTTTGCTTCGACAAGAGACTCTAAACTCAGAATGTTCAGTGCAGCTTAGACTTATGTAATATTTCAATTTCATAGTCTGCGCTGATAATTTATTTCAAAAATACATTTATGTACATTAAGAATACTTAAAGAATATTTGTATTCTTTACTGTACAATATAATAATTCCTTAGATGGAATAAGCTCAGTTAAATGTTCAGTTACCTGATAACGATGCAATTTAAGAAATGTCGTCGTAGAATAAATAGTAATTAAAAATTAATATAGTATTATATTATAGTATTATATTATTATGTTATATTATTATGTTGTAGTATTATATTATAGTATAATATTATATTATTATATTATAGTATCATATTATATTAGTATATTATAGTATTATATTATATTATTATATTATATCATCGAATTACATATTACTAGTAACTTTTACTTTTCATTAAAGAATCTCTTTCTCTAAACAATATTTTTTCAATTTTAACTAGCCTGGCCATAATACACATGCTTCAATTTCCATCTACAACACTCGTCAACTACACTGATCGTTAATCACCGTTCCCGAATCGCCAAAGACTTCTCTACACGCTTCGCGCGTAAATC